CGGATGGACTAGACTCACATGAGAAACCCTAACCTTGCTTTGATACCAAGTAGATGTTCAAGACTGCTATCAGCCTTGAACCCTAATAGATTTCAGGTTCGAAAAAGGAGAAAAAGGTATAGAGGAGAGAGGAGAAAGAGTAGAGAGAGAGCAATAGAACACCAGAATTGAAAGGAATGACAGAATCTGAATGTTCTGCAGCCGCCACTTCTATTTAGTATTTATAGGTTATGGTAGTTACATGAAAGGACAAATCTGCCCTTGGTATTTACATAACACATAAAACAATATAAAACTGAAATATAAATAACAACTGGAATAACAGATTGACCATCAGCTAACCCTAGGATGACTGGGGCACATTCTACCCTACGGACAGAGTGAGACCACAGCTGTGGGGCCCACATCAGTGTTCTCTACATCTTCAAATTCTTTGTCATGACACTTTACAGCATATGTCAGAACAATGTTGGGGTTTATTCTGACAGTGTGCCATTACATCTTCTCCATAGAAACAGATTTCCCTGGAATTAGTAAAGCTACGGTAGTGCGTCATTGCATCCCACTAAATTATTTTAGGGTATGTTATTGCTTGTTTTTCATTCAAGGCTACATAAGCATCTGAATGTATTTTGTAAGCAATCAATATTGATATTCAATCTCTTTCACAGAAAATTAGTAGTTTTGAATTGAACAACATTTTCTTCCAAATGATAAAGTATCGTTTTGCATTCATTACTAAACAGTAGAGTCCTAAAAGAGATGAACTCTATTATCACTTGTAAGTCGTAACTCACTGTTCCTTTTTTACGGGTAACTGGGTCAGTCACCATTCACCAGTCATGTGTAAGGCAGGATTTGACACAAGTATAGGGTACAGAACTCCAATTACACTTCTTTCCAGCACGCTTCATACACACCATACAAGGGTTAGAGGCAATGTATATAACATAGTTTCTGTTCAGACGAACATTTGTTTAGAATTCATGTCAAAATCACTTAAGGTAATGAATTAGAGGCTATGGGTGTATTAAAAATAGAATCCATAAGGAAGCAGAAGCTAGAAGTAGCACCTAATTAATGTCTAATAGTCATCAAGATAGGATTATTATCCTTTAAAAGCATATTAAGCATACATAATTCCAGCATACCAGGGAAAGATCATGTCCTAGTTCTTCCTTCATTCTCCTAATTGCTGATGTCTTTTCCATCATATGTGCAATATCAGCTTTCTTTTTGGTTAGTCTTTCCTTCAATACCTCCATGTTACCCTGTGAAACAAATCTAGCAAGATGTTATCCAAAAAAGAGGATAAAATAATCAAACTTTGTGAAGGAAACACCATAGAGAGCAATACTTAAAGGATGAGCGGTTCAAAATCAATAGAATCCTTTCAATGGACAACAAGAATGTAACCCTGTGAAACAAATCTAGCAAGATGTTATCCAAAAAAGAGGATAAAATAATCAAATTTTGTGAAGGAAACATCATAGAGAGCAATACTTAAAGGATGAGCGGTTCAAAATCAATAGAATCTTTTCAATGGACAACAAGAAACTTTTATTAATTATAAAAAATGCTAGGTACAACTGATGTTTAGCCAGCTACCAGCAATAGCTAGCACAAAGACCTTCCAGTAGAGAACGGAGCTCAGCACCTGTTGGTGGGGTAACTGAAAGCCCATAATAAGTCACCATTAGATCTATGAAAGAGGTCACCTATTTTAGCGTTTTTCTTTTGCAGGAGAAGTGCCGAATAATTGTACCCAGTTTCTCTGCAAGTCACCATGGTATGCTTTAGCAAAAAGGCTGTTGTTTACCATCCAAGAGTTGAGAAAGGTATGGATATGGACTCTTAGGGCCCGTTTGGTTCACACCCGGTAGCCAATTCTGGCTCATTCTTGCCAAGATTGGGCAGTAATGGGCCAAGATGATGTTTGGTATGGATACCTGTTCAGTTTCTGTCCAAAATGGGCAAGAATTTAAGTTCATTTCTTGCCCAAGTGTGGCATGCCCAAAAGTCCTGCTGCACTTGGGCAAGAGCTGGCTTCATTTTTGGAAGAAATGTTGTGACATGTCCCTCATATTTGGGAATACCTATTCATGCTAATAAAGAGAAGCGTTGGATCAGTGATTTAAAAGGCACACCTAGGAGCACAGGCGCTGGAAGTTTCACATGCTTGCATTGTTGAGTGCTTGAATATGTGTTATATATTATGTTTGACTTTATTTTTACATTTTACATGTTTATTTCTGTATTTTATTTTGAGCTATGTATTTTTACATGTTTACTTTCTATTATATAATTTTTGTTCCTCGTTAAATAAAACCAAACAACACTACAAGTTTACTCTCTCATTTAAGAAAAACAGCGGCTCACCTTTGTTTTTTTCTTTTACTTTCTATCTTAAATTTTATCATATAAAAGTATAGCCTTCTATAGTTGCTAATTTTGTATGAAATTGCTATATTAAAAGTTTTTCATATTAGTACTGTTTTGAAAGTATGGAAAATTAATATATTTGAAATACTGTCCTAGAGACAATGGTTTGCCGTGTTTTGAGAGGCAATGTAATGTTCTTAAGAAAGAGAATTGTTATTTTTTCAATTAATATGCATTGCCAAATGGTATATAAAACTAGGGAACCAGGTAAATTTAGTTTCTTTTTTTATTTTATGAAATTCTTATTGCCTAGTCAGAGGAACCAAGAGGAGGCCCAACAAAGTTGTTCTAATGAAAAGGTCAGTCCATCTCAGAAGTGGGCCAAAAGTTTATTATAACCTAATATTAGAATAAGCATATTTGAACATTTTAAAAGGCATTTGAGGTGTACACCCAAAGGCATGACTCAGGCGGCGCACACTCAAAATGCCCTGAGGCATACGCCTCAAGCTCCTTTTGCACGAGGAATATACCTCAAGAAAAAAAAAGAAAGAGAAAAGGAAAGAAAGAAGGAACTTGTCCTTGAGGAGGCTTACACCTCTTGCGCTTTGCAGTACACCACAGGTAGTGAAACATCTCAAGTCATGCCTCCATGTTTTAAAACATTGGTAGATTTACACCATACCCTCTACGTACAATAGATAAAACAGATAAAAGAATTATGATATGCAACATAAGATTCACAGTAGCAGTATATAAAACAGGTCTTAAACTCCTCTTATATACAAAAAACAAGGTGGCAGTAGCAAATTCATCTTTCCCTGATGATTATATCTTTAAGTTGCAGCAACAAGAAAGTGGACCCACAACAAGAAAGCAAGACCCTTAACGATGACCAACTGACAGTGGTTCAGTTGGTAAGTTCTCTGGCTAGTTGTAGTGACTTGGGGTCAAAATCCCATTGCCACCAAGGTTGGGAGGTTATGGATATGGGATTGGGCTACCCCTGTTGTGTTGCCACATGAAGAAGAAAAATAAGACCCTTCAAAATGACTACATAATCTCTTTTATGCTACATAATATTGGAAACCAATGTCAGGGAAAAGGAGGGAGAAGAAATGAAATACTACTAAAAGTTAAAGACCAACACTGACCCTCCAATATGGGCAATAATCTGAAAATAAAGTTTTAAATATATTCTACTCACTAGCTGTTGATCTATTTTGGCCTGGCAAGTAGGTATGCGATCTTTCAGCTTCTCAATCTTTGCATTTTGTTCCTTGATTTGCCTATCAACATCATATACCCAACACCACGCGAGCTTCTTCTTTAAGTGTTGTACTTGCTGAGATATTTCTTCAACATGTTCCATGTTCTTTATCTTGCTTTGTAACTCATTAAGCTCCTTCTGTATAGGTCTTATTGAAGATTCTAGTTCATCGATCACAATATTTGCTGCATCCAACTTTTCCCTAATACTTTGTAGAAGATCATTTACTTGTTGAAGCAGTGTAGCTTTGAAAAAGAACTACACAATAAAATATTACCATTAGTCACTGATAAGTTTTCCACAAGTATAAATTAAAAGTAAAAAGTGTCAACAGGCATGATATGCTACTGAAGTAAAGAAATCTCTTTCTTCTTTGTATGCAAATTCTAAAAAAAATGAGCCACGGATACAAAAGAATAGATAAAATATTTTTTTTGACAAGTAAGAATATGAAAGTAAGAAATGAAATAAAATAGAAGCAATTAAAAAAAAAACATATAGCCATAGATACAAAAACACACTTTTACCTTAAATTTCTCTTTGTCATTCCCTGAATGCAAAAATTCCCTGCTTTTGTCTTGACTCATTATCACACATGGATTCTCAACATCAATCTGCAAAATCACATGGAAAACATTTAGGAATACCTTTGAAATGGTTAAAATGCACAATAAGCATGAAAAGTAATGTTAGTGCCTGGAGAATTAAAAGATAAAGGAATTAGCATTTCAGAAAACATTCAAATGGAGAAGCGGCAAGAAGGACTCTTCGTACCAGCGAGAAGATGGAGAAGCGACTTACAGTTTGAAGCTAAAAGATTTTTGTTGAAGGGAAGAGTCGAAGTCAAGAGGTACTAGAGATTAAGGAGGAAGGAAGGGCTTCCATTTTCCTCGTTGGAGATGCTGTACCATGGTTGAAGGGGTTCATCAATGGAGCAATCTTCTCTGTCAAAAGCAATAATGGAGGAGTTTGTTGGAGCTCTCAAGGAGGAAAAACCAGATAACATTAAAGAATAATTGCAAAGGATGGTATGTGGAGATATCAGAGATAATAGGAAACGAATGGTTTGTGTTCCAGAAGGGAAACAGGGGCACAGTTGGAGGTTAATGGCACAGAGAATCCAATATTTCTTACTAGCTACAGAAGAAAACCGAAATCCTCTGTTGATAGGAAACTCCAAACGATGATCAGCAACAATAACACATCAGAAAAGAATAATCCCAATTCTAAGGACTTATCTAAGACACAAGTTTTTCGACAAGAAGAATATCAACAACAGTTTATGGTGGTTAATTCATGTAAGTTGCTGAGGTTTATTCTGGAGAGTGGTAAAGGGGATTGGGAACGTAGGCTAATTATCAAGGCAGGAAGAAAGGTGGATGACTGGGAAATAATAGTTGAAGCTATTATGGGTAAACTACAAGTTAACTCTAGGATTGTAGTCTACCCTTTCGATGATCATAGAACCTTTCTAGAAACAAGGGAGAGGATGATCGATTTTTGAACGTTGGATACTAGCTTAGGGGTGGTTTTAATTGAAAAGTGGTTGTTCTCTTGTAACTATAAAGAAATCAATACCGAATATTTTGAAGTTTTATTGGTCGGCCTTCCATTCACCTTGTGGAAGGAAACTTTCATCACCAAGATCGTCACAATGCTAGAAGGGGTCTTGCTCTAGTTCAATACTATTAATCTCTGGGGTGAGGATTAGGATGACCAGAGTTAAGCCTGAGCTTGTTCCCCGGTTGATCGATAACATGTTGAGCAGGGCTTAGAGAAGGGTTTGGCTGGCTATGGAAGTTGAAGTGACACTCTAGATTGAGAGAGAGGTTGAAGATGATGATGATGTGGCATTGTGGAAGACACGTGGCAGAAGTGGAGAGGGAGGGCAAGATAGGGTTCATTTAATGTGGATATTTTTAAGGTAAATGAAGAGGCACAGGTTGGATTGGGCCTCAAAATAGAAAGTGGCTTAAATAGTGTTAAATCAAACTTTAATGTTGCAAACTCTAAGTCTTATGCCAAGATGGTTAGGCGTGGGTCCAACTCAAGACTTGTCATTGGACCAGCCTATTTAAAAAGTAAGGAGAACATTGTGGTGGACCAAACCAAGTCTGATCCACTTAGGGGCAAATGGTCACGTGACTAGCATCATCGCCCCAACCCAACTCTGTCCATTAAAGGTAATTAACTTCTTGACAAAACAATCCTCTTCAATGGGTGGTGAGACATAAGGCAACTTCTATGGCCTCCTCCAGTACAGCAGACAAACCAACCGAACCCTAGATACACCAAAGACAAGACAAATGATTTGGAAGAGGCGGATAATGGTTGGGTGGGTTGTGCTTAGTTTGAGGACGAAGACGGTGAGTCTATCACAAATGTTACCACAATAGAAGATATTTTGGAGATGGAGGGGAGAATGTGGTGGAAAACTCAGAGGACTTGGGTACAAATCTATTGTTCACTGAAGAGATGAATGTTGTCAGACACTACCCTTCTCTGAAACCAACGACAAATGGTAGTGGCTCTCAATGGTCCAAGTATTATTAGGACAATAGGGCAGAAAACCAAAATCCTAACAAGGGGTTATCAAGACCAAATACATCAAAAAGACAAGGTGTTCATAAGGGATCGAGGGAGATTCACTTGAAGCCAAGCAATGGGACATTGATGGGGGGTAAGTCACAAAATAGTGGAAGTGAACAAGGTGTTGGTTTTTTAAAGGAAAGATTCACAACAGACGCCTCAACTAATCAGATTGGTAATCTCCATGAGATGGTACCAGAAAATTGTTTGTCCATCCCTGAGATGGACAAATCTTTTAGTAAGTCAACTTATGGTAACCTTGTAAATTCGTTTTTGGGGACTAACCCTTGCTCTATGCCTGTGTCGAACATGTCAAGTTCCCTAATGACCGTCATGCCACAAAGTGAAAACAAATCTATGACTGAGATAGAGATGATAGAGAAAGAGAAGGGTAGGAAAATTTGGGAATTGATTTAGAATTTCCTAGAGGAATTGGAGAGAAATGATTGAGAAGAATAACCATGGGGAGAGAGTTGAAGGAAGCACTGATGGAACAAACAGTGGGGAGGGTTATGAAGAGTCTGTTTTGATGGTGAATAGTGAGAAGGAAGACACATTAGCTGAATTTGTGGAAAAGTTGGGATGCAAATTGAAAGATCCAATGATTCAAAAGCTTTTTTGAGGAAGAAGGAAATAGGTAAGATGAAGAAAAGGAAACTAAGTGAGGTTGAGAAATTGAGGAGAGATGTGGAAGGGGACAAAGAATTTAGTGGGAGAAAAGGAAGGGTCAGAGGAAACAAATACGAAAGGTAGAGAATAGGGATCCTAAAGTCAAGTGGTGATGAAGATTCTAAGCTGAAATGTAAGAGGTCTAAGTAGGGAGAAGAAGAGGACAATCTCTAAAATAGTGCTTAATAAGGAAAAATCGGATGTCACATTGTTACAAGAGTCTAAAGTGGCAACTTTTGATGGTGATAGGCTAGAAAAATTATGGAAGAATAGAGGGCTCAAATGGGTTGCTTCCCTATCTTGGTGAAAGAATGGTAGGATCCATCTAATGGACGCTAATAAGGTTGCGGAATGGGTGGGCGAATTTCAAAACTTTTCCTACCTTCTTCCAACTGGGAATCATATTCCCTAAATTTAGAATACTATATTCAAGGATCCTACTTGAATCATAATTGAACCAGATCTGAACCAAAAAGCAAAAGGGAGGAATATACCTGATCCGGAGAAGCAGTATCTCCCAAAGTTGGTGTTCACGCCCAAAGAAGAAACCAAGATCCGCCCCTGCTGAAGATGACACAGCTGTGGATGGAACGGAAACAGCAGGGTGCGTCCTACACACTGGATCCTTCGCAAGAATCCTCTGGAAACTCTGAACACTGAATCTTTCTCAGTCTTTTTCGCAAGAATGTCAAGAACTGAATTCTTGACTCCCTATTGCTGCAAAGATCAAATCTTGCAAGAGGGAATGGCGGCGACTGGA